ACCAATATTAGGCTGTCTTGATTAAAGTAGCTATGTAGTATGTTTTGATGTCGAGGAGTGTTCTTTTTCTTCAATATTGCCTTGGCTATTTGAGGGTTCTTTCTTTTCCATGTGAAGTTGGTCATTAGTTTTTCCATTTCAGTAAAGAATGTTGTTGGGATTTGTATCAGGATTACATTATATCTCTAGATAGCTTTAGTTACAATTGACATTTTCACTATATTAAATCTTCCAATCCTTGAGCACTGGATATCTTTCCTTTTTGTATGTCTCTTTTAGTCTCTTGTAGTAGTGTTTTATAATTTTCAGTGTATAAATCTTTTCTGTCCCTAGTTAGGTTAAGTTCCTAGGTATTTTATCTATTTGGGGGCTATTGTAAATGACACTGTTTTCTTGATTTCTTTTTTGGAGTAGTCCTTGTTAATATAGAGGAACCCGACTGATTTTTGTGTGTTGATCTTGTACTCTGCAACATTGCTAAATTCTTGTATTAGTTCCAGGAGTTTTTTTGTGGAATCTTTAGGATTTTCTATGTATAGGATCACGTCATCTGTAAATAGAGATAGTTTTATTTCTTCCTTTCTGATTAGGATAAATTTATTTCTCTTTCTTGTCTTACTGTTCTGGCTAGGACTTCCAGTAGAATGTTAAATAAGAGTGGTGATATTGGGCATCCTTGTCTCATTCCTGTTCTCAAAGGGAAGGCTCCCAGCCTTTTTCCATTGAGTATAATATTGGCTGTTGGTTTTGCATATATGCCTTTGATTATGTTGAGAAATTTCCCTTCTATTCCTATTTTGTTGAGAGTTTTTATCAGCAAAGGGTGTTGAATTTTATTGAATTCCTTTTCTGCATCAATTGATACAGTCATATGGTTCTTTTCCTTTGATTTATTTATGTGGTGGATTACATTGATTGATTTTCTAATGTTGAACCACCCTTGTAATCCTGGTATGAATCCCACTTGATCACGGTGTATGATTTCTTTGATATGTTGTTGAAGTCTGTTGGCTAGAATTTTGTT